TGGTTAAGAGCCAACCGTTTTAACTTGAGAAAGAGAACTAAGCCACTGCCGAGGCTTAGAACTGACCCAAGAGGAGGCTGGTTTTACTCTTGAGGATGGCAGCTGGTGCCAGGTTTGGTGCTGCCCTTCCTGAAATAAGGGTTTCCACCTCTTATCTAGCTGTCTGAGTTGCCAAACCCCTAGAACAGTCGCCCCATTTCACTGACTCTCAATCATAAGCATTCTTTTGCTGCTTTTTCGAATATTTAGCCTGAAATTGAGTTCCAGTATGAAACAGTGGCACAGACTGCTCTACAGCAAGGAGAGAAAAATCCAGAACTGCTAATTATATTGTAGTAATTACCTCAAAATTATATGTATGTTGTTTGTGCAGCAGTGGATGCTGCTATTTTTGAACTTGTGTTGTCATCCCGAGTTGATGGAGTCACACTCGCTCTCTGAGTCCATATTCGTCATGGACACTGTCCTGCATCCCAGCAGTTGCTGAGAACTGTGTAATTATCAACCTGTACTAAGCCAAACACCTTCACTTCCTGTTTGTTTCATGACCATCCTCCCCACGCTTCCCTTTCATCTCCATGTTCAAACAAAAAACAGCAACTAAGCATTTGCAGGAACCATTGTAAGAAGTTTGGACTCTTGACTGGATTCTGTGAATGGTAGTCAATGGAAAAAGAAACTATTGCTTATTGTGGAAAAATCCCTCACTTTATATACGCTTTGATTTCTATCTTCAGTTAATTGCTGCCTTTCACATTCAGCTGTTTTTTAATGTGGAGACATTCCACAACTCTGCTGGCATTTCAGAAAGAGGAACAACCAAGAGAGCTGGTCATTTGGATCAAGGATATTTGTAATCACACCCCTGAAAAGACTATGGCAAAATTCAGATGATAATGAATCCAGAAACTGCAGTGAAAGGAAAGCCCAACCCATTAAACAAGAAGTCTGCCACTGCATTGTACCAGAGGGTCCCTGCTGGGTCAGCGCAAGGTGGTCTGTATACTTCAGCATCCCCTTCCACGATGCCCGACTGGATCTTTCTGGGAAGCCCACATGCAAGATATGAATGTGGCATTCAAGTGACCCTCCTAGCTAAACCATAGAAACATAGAAACAGAGCGAGCCAGAAGGGGCCTCCCAGGCCATCTAGTCTGACCCCCGGCTCCAGCCAGCTCCACTCATGACATGCCCACCATGTGCACATCCAGCCTATCCTTGAACACCCGCACCGATGGGGCCTCAACCACCTCCCGTTGAAGCCCACTCCACACCCTTGGGGTCCTGACTGTGGAAGTGCTTCCTGGCATCTAAATTAAACCTTCGTTTCCTGAGCTTTGCTCCATTGGAATGTGTCCTGCCCTCCTCTGCAGGGGAGAACAGGTCTCTACCCACCTCCATGTGACACCCCCTCACATGCCTGTATGTCGCCAACCGATCCCCCCTGAGTCTCCTCTTCTCCAGGCTGAAGAGACCCAGTTCCCTCAGTCTTGCCCCATATGGCTTCCCCTGCAAACCAGCGACCTTGTGGCCCTATGCTGCACAAAGATGAAAAAAATAAAAGAATTAACACATTAATTTTAATCAAAGAATAAAAAATTAATCAGCAACATCCATTCATAATAATTGTTTCTCCAATTTCCTTGGGGATGGTGATTCATGTGCTGGATTCTACCCGAAACCCATTAGATTGGGTGAATATGGTTCTTTTATTTTTTTTCTTTCAGGAAAGGAAGGAAGCTGTTTGGTCTATTGTAACCCAGGCTTAGTATGTAAAAACAACTAAAATGTTTATGGTCTGGTTCTTAGATATTTTTTACATATATAGATATTCCCAGCTAAGTGTGCATAGGATTGCAGTTAATGTAGGGTCAGATTTCATCAGCAGCCGTAATTCTGAAGGTAACTGTTGTCAAGACAAAATGAACAAAAGCTCTGTCATAATATGGCTGCCCAAAGCCAGGCACTGCAAGAACAGCTTCAGAGTCACGGCGGGATCCCAGTGTCACCAGGAAACCTGCTGCAGGTCTGGCTGCCCAGGTGCCCCCTAGAGATGCCAATGGCCGCTGTCCTGACGCCTTCCTTTTGTGCGTCTCAATCCCTTCCACCCTTTCCCCCCCGCTCTCACCTGCCTCCAGCAAACTGCCCAGCAAACAGATCCCCCCCCCCCCCCCCGCACCCACTCCTCCAAACCGTGTACAGAACTAACAGGCCGTGAAGCATCTTGCGCAGCTTTGTGGTCCCTCCGGGGCTACTGACGTGCTGCATGAATCTCTCTCTGCCTGACCAAAGTGTACATTTTCTTTGGACCGGGCACCCCGGCAGAGCCGCGCTCACTTTTGCTCGACAGTCTTGCCTTTTAAGCGGCCTAGTGCATTTTTGCTGTTAAACAGTAGCAATTTCATAGCCATCCAATTTTTATTATTTGGAGTGGAAACTAGGGCACCTTTTAGCTCTCCGAGGCACCACTTTTGTTGCTGTTGTTATTTTTGAAATAGGAGGGCCATTTTTCTGGAAGTTCATATACAGGGAGGAGAGTGCCGGACCAGTTGTTCATATTTATACTTCACTCCCTTTGATGCTGTTTTTTAAAATGTAGCTTGTCAAGATGAAAGGCCACACAAGAAGGATTTCCCTATTTGAATGCCTGTGACAATTAAATGCATCATAGTAATTAGTATTTAGTACAGATGTGACAATCATATTCTAAGCTTTAATTAACAGAGAAAAATATATATCATATTAACTCATTTCAATTATTTCCCCAAAGTCTAAGTAACTGTAAAGCAAAGAGACTTATTAAAATTAAACGAAGACTCGGGCTGGTCCCCAAGGGTAATGGCATTCACCATACACAAGAGATCGACTCTGAGCTTAGAATCCCTGGATTACAGTGCAATCTTATACCAGTGTTCTTGAAAGTAAGTCTCATTGAGTTCAATGGCCCTTATTCCCATGGTGTAACTAAAAGCTATATAATTACAGGCTTTTCTTTTTAAATAACGTAAAGGTATGCTAAAGCTTCAGAAGTTCATATGCTTTGTAATGGATCATGAATCAGTGAGGTATGGAGGGGGCAATTTCTGGTGAGAGTTATAAATTTATATATTTTGTGAACTGTAGGACCACACTGTATTGTAATGGACCAGATTGTTCTTCCTTACAGGGAAGTGAGTTTTTCAAGAGTCATCCTTAGTATGCCACTGATTCAAGAATCTCTCAAAGGGGTACATGACAGGTGATTTTATATAGCCCGTTTTGATGGAGGAAAAAATGATTTTAAAAATTCTATCCTTCTTTTCACTCTCCAAGCAGCGTCTATGTAATGAAGTCTGGAGTATTTACACAGCAATAACAATCACACAACAGTATCATATAGCCAGATACTTTCCACAGAAATATACTTCCTTTTTCTTAAACTTTGACTGGGTATCTTTCTCTACATATATTTATTTGGAAGTAAGTAGCATTTACTTACCGGGAAGTGTAAACAGGGAAGCAGCAACCAGAATCCATATCAATGAGACAACAAAGACCCCTGAACAGTCATAAAACCTGGAACTCATCAAAATAAATATGAAGTTCCAAGGCATGTGGCTTAAACAGGTCATAGGATACCAATTAGAAATAGGAAGTTAATTAACTTTACTAATGCAAGCCGCAAGATTTAGATGCCTCAGGAGAGTGCCTTAACCTCTGAACAGCTCCTGGCACTTTGTTAGCTTGGTGTAAGTGGTTAGCAAATGCATGGCACTGCTTACGCGTCCCTTTGCCTCCCCTGCAAAGCAAGGAGCTAGTATGGCGTAATGAAGCCGTTTCCAGTTGACTGGGGATACCTGGATTCGAGATCAGCACTATGCCTATGCACATTTGGACTGAAGAACTTTCTACAGCTGCCAGCATTCCCCAGCCACCATGGAGAGGACTTTTTTTCTGCCTGAACATGGCTGGCATTGCTCTTTAAAGCTCCTGAGAAGCCTTGGGCAGGTGAGCATCTCCCTGCCTAACTATCTTGGAATGGCTGCAGGGATATATTAGCAGAACCTTGAACACACTGTCTTGAGCTCTGTGAAAGAAGGCGATGCAGGTACAGTAAGATTAATGTGGGGCCCATATGAAGGGTGACGGGTGGGATGGTGTGCTTAGGCCAATGTGGCGTGTGGCTTTATTCCCCCATTCATCTGCCTTCGTGTTATCAGCAGGAGCCTAGTACTGGCATTTCAAGGATGACAAATTGTACGGTAAGGCTGGACAGACTTCTGCTTGCTGCAAGAAGCCAAGGGAATCTAGCAGAGAACGTGGATGTTGTTAGCTGCAGGCGCCTGTGAGAAATGCCCCATGCGCGTCTCCTGGGGCAGAGCGCTGGAGCACTGGTCCCAAGCCATGGAATTCGAGCTTTTATTCATGCCAGGTGCCTTCTCCTCCACGAGCAGCGAGAGGCAGTTTTCCTAGATAGTTATATGTAATAGGCAAGAAAGAACATTATGGTTCACGTTAAAACAGCTAACAGCACAAATAAGTTGGGCCAGAACTTTCATTTTAGAGATTTATCTCCCATTCATCCAGCAATAGTAAGCATCCAACTGCAAACTAGTCCTTTGCTTTTAGAAAAAGAGGAATCCTTGCAGCACAAAATACAAACCCACACCAATTATTTATGTTCATGATACAAAAAAAGCTGTTGGATAAGCCGTTCGTTCGTTCATTAAAAACCCATTATATGCCGCCTATCTCGCCAATGGCTCACAATCGCACACTTAAACTACTTTGCCCGCTTGGCAGAAAGGGGCTCAGCCGTCCACCGAGCGGCCCCTCCGCGCCCCTCGGCGGCTCCCCTCCCGGCGAGGGCCGCGCAGCCCGGGCCTCCGCTCTCTGAGGACGGCGGGCGGCCAGGCCCCGGGGCACCCGCCCCCCCCGCCCGCGGAGGGAGCCACAAGATGGCGGCGCGCGCCGTCGATTCAAACGCGGCGCGCGGGCCGGGCGCGGGAGGCGGCCTCGGCGGGGCCCAATGCGCCTGCGCCTCGCGATTCAAGATGGCGGACAGTGCGGAACTAAAGGTAAAGGCGCAGCTCGGGGTCTCCTTCCATCCGCGCCGCGGCCCCTCGCCGGCCCGCCTCGCCTGGCCTCGCCCGCCCTGCCCGCCCGTCCGCCCGCTCGCCCTTTCCCCCGCTTCCGCGCTGGGGCCCGGCAGCCGCGGCGGGGGCAGGGCAGGGCAGGACGAGCCGAGGACCTCCGCCGGGCGCCCTCGGAGGGCTTCGCGGGCAGCGGACCCTGCGCGGGGAGCGCCCGTCGGGCGGGAGGCGCGGCGGGTGGCCCTCGCGGCCCCCAGAAAGCGGCCCGCGGGCGCCGGGGGGCACCGGTCTCCTCCCCGCGGGGGCGGCCGTTCTCGACGCGCCGCCTCCCCGAAGGGCCGGAGGGAAGGGTCCGGGTCGCGGCCGCCCCTCCCTGCTAGGTAGGACAGCAGGGCGCCGGCCCAAGTGATGGCGGCTCTCCCCTCCGCCTCGGGGAGGCCGCGTCCCCCTGGGCCCCACCGCGGGAGGGCCTCCGGTGCTCGCGGGCCGGGCGGGCGCCTGCCCCCTCCCCGCGGAGGGGCTCCTCGTGCCCTTCTTATGCGCCTCCAGCCCCTCTTCCCCTGAGGGTCGTGCAAGGACCCTCCCCGCACGCGCTGCTCTGGATCTCCTGGAAGTTGATCGCGGCTCCCCGTGGGAAGGCGCAACTTTGCAGCCTCGGCTGTGGGGCTGGGTGTGGGGCTGCGGTTTTGACCCCCTGCGTTGAAGGGGCGCGGATGCTGATCCCCCCCCGCCCGGGCTAGCGAGGAAGAGGATGGCTGCAAGACCGACCAGTGTGACTTGTGACAAGTGGGGCATGCCATTTCTGTGCTTTCAGCAGCAGTCCCCCTAATCCCCCGTTCACACGTTCCGTGTCGGACAGCAACCTCGGAGCGTTCTGTAAAATGAGTGCAAACAGGCAGGAATGAATGCTCTTGAAATGCGGCATCTCGCTTTGGTGGATTGTTTTGATGTGCCCTACTGTCAGTTGCCACTCCACAAGTTTTGTGAGAGTTGCAAAGGCTTTGTCCCTCTGGCCAAGGATATTCGTGCGATATGCAGGGAATGCCAGTCACGGGCGTGCAAACAAAACTGCGTCTGTGAGAAGTAAATAAAACTAGTGTGCAAAGCAGATGCATTTCCCTACGTCCAGAGAGTTTTGTCACTTGACTTTTATCCAGAGCCATAGATCAGTGGGAGGAAACACTGAGCTGAAAGTTGGGCTGTACTTTGCTTATGAATCTTGTGACTGACGTTCTCTCTTGTTGAAAGTTAGAGCCTTCTGAATTCTCCAGAGGGATAGTAGATAGAAGGAAACACCCACCACCTTGGTTTCCTGTCTTAAAGTGAGAGGAAACTAAAAGTGCTGAATCTCATTTGTTCGGTCTTGTGCTCTACTAATTCTCACTCTAGGCATGCCAGCTTGAAGAAGCTCATCTTAGAAAGTGGCATTCAGAGTCTTGCAGAGGCAAATTTGTGGTTTGTCTTTCATCCCAAGTAGTGTGTGTGTGTTTTTTTTTTGAAAAAGACTTGCCTGAAATTCTTGAAAATGATTCTTCCTCTCTTAGTGAGTAAGGTTTCATATAATCTTATAGGTTGCTTACATTTCCAGCTTCTTGCTACAATCACACAGGCGACTTTCTAGTATTAGGGTATAATTTTCTTTTAAAAAAAATTTCTCAGCATACCCACCCTTGATAAACATAAAGGAATTTTTGGAAGTATTTAGAACATCTCCTAACATCTTAGTATGTTTTGAGGACCTGACCATCTAAACCCTAATATTCAGCAACTGTTATGAAAGACAACACATTAAATATTGAGTAATAACAAAACCTGTCAAGTACAAGTGGAGGGTTTTTTCCTGTGTTCCATTGGCTCTAATAATCATGATGTCTTTTTAAGGCAATTAAAAAACAAAATTGTATTATATTTTTTCTATAGAAAAGCTATTGGAATGTCAGATGTTTTGCTATTAGAATTCGCTTTCCAAGAAGAGTATTTTGTTTCTTGCCTCTCTTGATGTATTAATTATTCTGAAAATCATACATGTTGCTTTCCTATAAAAAGCTTCTTTTTCATGTTGACTTTTCAAAAGGTGCTGTGCTCCTCTGGGGGTTTGTGTACACATGGATGGCAGCTCTCTTTGTGAGGTGAAGATGAATGGATCCTGCTTATAACCTTCCTTGGCTTTTGTGTTTGGGGATGGGGGTGGAATCTCGCTGGTCTTGCAGCATTAGGCTTAAGGAGGCCTGGTGCCTGCTTATGCAGCAGCTTGTTGTAAAGCATAAAAAGGTTTATTGGTTTTCCTTCACACTTGGGGTTGCTTCATTAATCTCGGTGCAATAAATACAGCAAGGTATTGGTAACCGGCTCTTCATGGCTAGGATGATTTGTTTATTAGAAAGCAGTTGTTTTAAAGCTTCTTTGATTTAGATGGCAAAAGATTGCACCTCCTTCCTTCACCTCTTCTTTCATGCTGCTGTGGAGACCCGGAATACATACACAGGGAGATGTGCAGTCTTTTCCCTGTGAGCTTGAGACAATTACTAGATGCTTTTTTCAAAAACCATGGCATTATGGCATTTGTCTCTTTTTAACATCTTAAATTCAACATTTATCCTGGATTATGACTGCCGTCAGCTGCCTTCTTATCTATTTCTCCTTTACAACTAGGGGCTGGCCTTTGTTCCCTCCCTCTACTACTCCTCTTTTCTCTGAGTGCCTTCCTTTTCTGTTGATTCCCATAGATTTCTCCAACATCAGCATAATTTATTTTTATTTGTTTATTAAAATATTTATGGACCACCTTCTGGCCATGAATCCCTCAAGGCACTGTACCAAACAGATATTAAAAACAATTTACACAGTAAAGCAAAAATTAAAGTAGAGAACGATAAAAATTTCAGAAGATTAAAAACCAGCTATTGACCTCTATTTAAACATCAAATGCTGAGTGGAACAGGAATGTCTTTATTGCCTGATGGAAACTGAACAGTGAAGGGGCTAATTTAAGTTCCCTAGGGAGGAAGTTTCACAAACAAGCTGCTGCTATAAAAAGGGGACTATATCCAACATTATGCGAGTGAACTTTCACACATGCATGGGAGCTTCCCTTTCTAATTTGGGACAGACTTGGGAGATGTGAAGGGGGAATCCATTCCACCAGTGGTTTTTGTTCTTCTGGTAGACAAACACAGTTGGATGCAGCCCTAAGACCATCTTCTTATCAATGTCACCTGTAATGGAGTCTTTAGCATAGATTGTGAATTATGGGAAGTTTTGCATGGAAGCATATCCTGGCCTCAAGATAAGAACAAGAGCTTTGAATTGTGCCTGGAAAGAAATTGTATTTGGTCTAGACCAGTGCAAGATGACTCATTTAGAGCGCAATCAAAAGCAACTTGCCTTCAGTGCTTTGCATCAGCTACAGTTTTCAGACACTCTTCACCTAGAACACATTATAGTTGCTCCAACAGGAAGGACTTAAGGTATGCATTTATATGGTGAGGCTCATCTTCCCTAGGAAAGGATGCAACTAGAACACCAGAAGAAGCTGTGCAAAGACACTCCTGGTCAAAGCTGTTGCTTTAGCATTCAGCATTGAGATGAAATCTCAAAAGCTCATGAACACAGCTCCTAAATGTGGTGTGCAAGACACATGGCACCCACGGCACCTCCGGTGTTGCCTCCAGAAAGGTCCCAAATGTGCTGCTTGTAACCATGCTATTTTTAAAATCATTTTTCCTGATTTTTAAAATATACATGCATGAATTTGTGTGAAATTCATGCAACTTTCTAGCACTTATAAATAGGCTTTAACAAAAGTAGGCCAGGTAGAAGTTGGCATCTGTATGCCACCTATTCAAATATTGAAAGTCTTGTGAATCATGGATTTGTTGCGTTGCAGCAGGTGTGTGCTTATCCTTCCAATGTTGTAGTGCCGGTGTTTTAGCTGTCAAATTGGTACAGCCTCTTAAACACTGTGTCAATATAAAATTTGGGTAATAACCTCCCCAGTGGTAATCCACTGATTAGGTATTTCCTGTTGGTGCCCACAGCAGTTTCTCAAATTCCCACATGTGCCCACTGTTCTAGAAAAGGTTGGGAAGCCTTACTTTTAAGTGTTTAAAGGTGCAGTGCTATATATGGTTGGACTGAAAAAGACCCTTAATTCCCATCATTCCCCATGAACGTTTTTCTGTCAAACATGCTAAGAAGGTGCTTGGAAAATTGTTATTCCTTCTTTAATGTGTAAAGAAAGTTTTGAGTGATGAGTAGAATTTATTTATATTTGGGATGTTTCCTAAATGAACAATCAGTCCCCATCCAGGTATAGAGGAAAGTAATTGTGCGTGGTTGAAATCCATTTGCTTTCACTTTCTTGGCTTCCTCTGTTTGGCATAGTGCAAACCAAAAACTGCAGTTCTGTGGCAGAGGAAATGTCTGGTCCTTCTGCTTCCTGCATTGTGGTAAGATTATAAATTAGTTTGTAGGTCTTAATGAAATATCCTGTTCAAAGTGTTAGAGGGAGCAAATTGGGGAACGGCAGGTAGGAGTTGTGTTTAAATACTTAAAAAAATTATTGCTATTTATTTAAAACATTTCTATGCCACCCCCATCGCAACAAACCCTCGGGGCGGCACAATTTAAGATTGTGGTTCCTTGTAATTCCCAGAGAAAGGTGGCTGGAATGGGATTTTCTGTCCTTTATTGCTTTCCATGCCATGTAGGATCATTTTCATACTACGCCAGTGATGCTAATATTTATGAGCAGTCTAATCGATACACACATCAGATTTACATTAAATTTGATTCAGAAAAGCTTAATTGTCCTTAGTTCCCTTTGAAATAAATGACTTGAGTCATGAGTAGCTTGCCCCATTGGTTTCAGTGGTACTTAAGTCTAGAATTGTGCTTAAAACATTCTCTAAATGTCACTTAATTACAAGGAGATGTGAACTTTTGCTTTGTACAGCGGTACCTTGGCTCACGCACGTAATCCGTTC